AAGATGTCACCCGGGTCAAGTCTTGTATATTTTGTTCTTACTCGTTATTTTGTAAAATATTTCCATTAAAGTTATTTTGAAATATAAAAAAGTTGTTTTATTTTTTATTACTTACATATTCTAAAAAATGGGATAAGTGCCAATGGTATATCGAGGTGTTGGCATTTAGCACAGTTTTTGAATCCAACGGTTGGCACATATCACTTCTTACAAAACTTCATGTTTTTGATTTTATAGAGGCTCTCAAACTGATCCCATTAACAAATAAGTTTTACAGAATTGAAGTATTATGGATGATAAATGCATAAAAAAAATTTGTAGATTTTTTTATGGAAGAATAAACTGTAAAAACAAAAAAAATTGATTTCCTCAAAATTTTGATTTTGACACTTAGCCCGGTTTTCATTTCATGTCTTCAATTATACACTACTCAAAACAATTATCGCATATTTGAATAAAAGTAATTATTAGATATTTCTAACTGAAGCATGCATTTTTCTGTCTTTCTCTTGTGAGTTTTTTAGGATAATTAGGGTATGCACTGACATGTAATTTTTAGTCGGCCGACTTTGGACTTGATTGCAAAAGTGAAAACAATACATTCTTATGGAGCCGATCGGGCCCAAACCAATATTTGATTACATTGCGTAGCCTTGGGCTATGCGCTGACAGGCAACTTTTAATTGACCGACTATTTGGTTGCATATTTGTAATCAATATATTCTTATGGATATATATGAATATATTCTTATGGTCCACATGCAATCAAATAGTCAGCCGGATGACTTCGCAAAGGTATGTATTGTTTTCACTTTTGCAACTAAATAGTCGGCCGACTAAAAATTATAGGTCTGCGCGTAGGCTTGTTTTATCGAATTTCCCTCCACGGTCCAAGTCAGGGAATTCAAAATATCTTGTTTTTCAAATTAATATTTTTTTAGAAAATATGCGATAATTGTTTTTAGTGGTTTATTTTTTTTAAAATGTAATTTTTTCTTTATTGAGATTTAAAACAAAAATTCTAACCAGAAAACGAAAACTATTCTAACTAATGATATTATTTGACAGTATGCTATTAGTTATGCAGAGGTTGTTAGAGGAAGTTTATCTAACACTGAGTGCAGTCTCGAATTATCATCGGTATCGGAGTCGATTTGTGCTCCCACCATCCTCATTCTTAATCCCGCCTACACGTTTACGAACCGGCAACACTGTATCCCCCCTTTTATTTTGCGTCTTTCTCTGTCAACCGGTCAATTGTATTATTCTCTGTCGTATCCATTAAAATCCTATACACAGTAATTAAATGACCAGGACTGTATATATTTTACAGTTTATTAAATATAAATTTTGACTACAAGGTAGAAAGTAAATCACAATGTTTGATAAAACTTATAAGTATACCATTTTTAGAGTTAATAAATAATAAAACTATTTCTGACTATGATATTTAAAATTTAGATAGATAGAATATTAAAAAACATACCGGTATTTGCAGACGCAGGCCCAAATTCAATAAAAACCAAAATTTTTCCTTCGCAAAACGGGCTTTTTTCACAGAAAAGGTATTTTTTGATTTATCAACAATCATTGTCAAGTTGACAATATACAGGGTGTTTACTAATTAGTCTAAAAAATTGTGGTGTGATTCCTCATGTGTTCTTAAAACAATTTTTATATAACCATTGGGTCTAAAGTACTTCCCTTCTGATCTACAGGGTGTTAAAAATTAAAAAAAATCGATATTTTGATTAACATAAATAGTACACCACTGATTTTTTAAAGAAAATATATTTTTTTCTTGGCTGGCCAACTTTTTCAACAAAATTGATCTTTTGAGTTTTTCTTGTTCATCAAACGGTTGCCGAGAAAAAAATAAATATACTTATTAAGAGCCCGCCTTAAGCCGTTTTCTAACGATTTTTTATTTTTCAGATTAATTAGGAAACACTCTGTATATGCATATCACAGGCAACCAAATAAACTAGTAACCTCTAAAAATTATTTTTCCTACCACTAGCGACATACCGTGTTTTTAGTGAGTACTAAATTATTTTATCAAAATTTCACCATATAAGTTTCCAGGCAATGACATTACTTACGAGACGTCATTTTGAAACGTCTTTAAATTTTATTTATTGCTGTAGTGAAAATGAAGTTGTTTGTAAAAAAATGTTGTCCGAAAATGTTAAATTTTATAGTTAATAAAATTCTTATAGTTATTTGCCTCATCGTAAGTCATTCGCTTCATTCTAAGTCATTCAGGAAATAATCTAGCCGTATATCACTTAACTTTTATTTGATTTTGCTTTTTAGAAAATAGTTTCATGCACAATAATTTTAGAATAAAAACCCTCGATTGCTTCGCGGTCTCGAGTTTTTATTAAATTATTGTGCATTCAACTATTTTCCAAGCAAAATCAGGCGCAATATATATTTGAATAGTTTAACCGATTAAATTTATAGGTCTCGTGATATAATATATGAAAAAGCTTCAGGAAAACTAAAACTACTTTTAATGCGTATAATTAAATAATTCTTATTTTTTATGTTTCTAATACAGATTTATTATATCTATTAATAGATATAAAATAATCTCCAATATTGAAAAAAAATTCTGTACAATTTTATTTCATTTTATTAAAAATATTCTTTCTTGTGCATCTGTTTGGAAATTAGCTCTAAATTTTATTTAAAAATAAAAATTTCTCTATCAAAAATTGCATATTTACATATTTTTTTACATGGAAATAAAATTTGTGGCCGACCAAGGTTAAATCAAGGTTAAAAACTCGGATTTAGAAAAGAAAATTTAAAATATACTGAAATATATTATTAAACCTAGATCTGTCCATCTCCCACCATTTTAATTGAGGGGTAAAATTCTTGGCGATTTTCATTCATGTTTAAGGTTCAAAAAAAAAGACCGCATGGTGGCAGCAGCTCACAATACTCCTCATTGTCAAACTATATTATAGTCTGTCCAACGATAAAATCCTTGACAGCGATAGATGTGTCTGTCGTTTTAATTTCAAAGTAGTTTATTTTATTTTAAAAAGAAATAAGTTGGTACAATTGGAACGCATAATTAATATATTTAAATTTTGAGTGACAAGTGATTACTTCAAAATATTATGAAAAAAACTGTATAAAACTGAAGAAATCTAATCTTGGTTAATTTAACTTTAATCTTATTTTTTTTCTGCAGTATTAAAATGTATTATTTACCGATCGTGTGATGTTCTTTTACAGATACCCCAGTTTTTGGTACCATATACGAGATGGTATACAACTTTATTTGTGGCTAATACAAATCTACGGCCATAGTATCTGGCAAAATGTGTCTCTGGCGGTCTCTGTGCACCGAATATTAACTGTAAACTATGGTCTGGGTCAACACTTAATATTCCCCCGAGTTTTCCTCCACTTAATTTTAAAAAACACGAAACACAAGTAACAACACAGTCGAAAATGCAAAATGCAAAATATTTATCATTTCTATTTGACACAAAATTATAACCTATAATTGGCAAGAGTTTGGCAACTCTCAAAAATCATAAGTCGAGTTCATACGCACAAGCGTCCGTTTGTCGTCCATCGTTGCGTCAAACCAATAATATCGAAATATGATCTGTCGTTTTTGAAATAAATCAATAAAACCGGTTAAAAACAACAAGAGACGACGCATGACGTATTTATTTATAAACCCATCCGTAGTTAAGTTAAAAAATATTAGAAACTTTTTTTAGTGAAATAAGTGGATTGGTATGGAAGTAATCTGCCTTTTTTATGTCATCGTCTATCGAAATCTTACCTGAGAAAAACAAAACAGTATATATATATATAGACAAAGGTATAACTTAGGTATAAAAATATACTTGAACCCTGTTACGAAAAATATTTTTAGAATAATTTTCGGCTACTATGGCATCCATGCTTAAAAATTAAAAAAATGAATAAATAAAAAAGTACCCCCGCCGCGCCGCGCCGGCCGCCCCCTCAAACTTTCGCACCGCCTCTAACGACGTCATGGCCCTGACAGAAAAATTCATGTTTTACGACAAAATTGCGACAAATCCAATACATTTCCGAGACATTTTTGTATCATTTTTGTTTTGTTTCAAAATTCGAAGACTTTTCAATATCCCGTCTCGAGTCGGGAAAGATCAAAGAGTCTATGTTTTGTTCATATATTTTACGACAAGTTGTCGATGAAGTGTGGATGGCGTGTGAGGTAGGAGACCAGTGAAATTACACATGGTTAATAAAACTCATTCGCAACAACTAAACTTTTGACCTTGTTGTCCTTGCGGCGTGGACAATTTGTCTTAAGTTTGTCTTGTCAGAATTCCACATTTTTTGTCGCAAGTTTGTCTTGTTTTTGAATCAAAATCGTGTTTACTTTTTGTCGCCTTAGTCTGGACCCGGCATAAGATTTCAGTATTCAATCAACCAAAATTCAAATTCAACCAAAATTCAATTCAAACCAAAATTTGTCAGTTGCTGAATTTGGCTTACTCAAATTTGGTAGGAGTTTTATATACATAGATTTGGAGAAAATTATATTAGAGTTAGTTGCTAGAAGGTATTGCAGGTATTACGAAAATAATTCAAACCAAACCAAACCAAACCAACTAAGAATAGACAGAAATAAACTAAGGTGGCCAATTTAGAATGTTATCTCAGAAACTACTTATCGGATAACTTTGGGACTTTGGGAAAAAATCTAAGTAAATCGACCAAGAATATCGTCGAAAATTATTTTCAAGTTCGAAAAATGGCCATTAGAGGGCGTATCTGTTATGGCCAATCAGAAAACATTACTATTGTAATCATGTAATCACTAGAAAATTCGATTTTTTTGGTATAGCGTATTTTGCTCTGTTTCATAAACCAAACCTACGATCACCGTGGCATTTACATAGGAATCATATTCCTATTCAAATGCTTTGATTATTAATGTGTCAACCATTTTTTCTAATAATATTTGCTTATTAAAGGTGGAAGAGTCATGGAAAACTTTAGAATTTTGTGTAATTCCCCATAAAGATGCAAAAGACGTTTATATTTTGGGCTCCCTGGAAGATATACAAACCGCTCTAGATGAAAGCAACATTAATATTACAACCATAGCAAGTTCTAGACATGTTGGTCCTATAAAATCCAGAGTGGAGGAATGGCAAAGAAATCTAGATTTATTTTTTAGAACATTGGTAATTAATATTATAGATTATAGTTGGGCGTTGGAACCTTTGGTGTTATTATAACAATAGAAAATATTAATTCACTACAATACATCAAAATACTTTACTTCTACACCTCGTTTTGCACTGGAAGCGCGTTTCGCTAACCGTGATGTACCGTAACGTTAAATACCGTTATGTAAAAAACCTTAATGCTAATAAACGTAATATGGTTAACGAAACGCGCGTCCAGTGCAAAAGTAAAGTAATTTGGGTGGTGATTTTTGTGGTGAATTAGTGTTTTATTTTGCTATAAATACACTATTCAAAACAATTAATGCATATTTGAATAAAAGTAATTATTACATATTTCTAAATGAAGCATTCATTTTTCTAACTTTCTCTTGTGAGTTTTTTTTAGGATAATTATGATACGCACTGACATGTAATTTTTAGTCAGCCGACTATATAGTTGGAAAAGTAAAAACAATACATTTTTATGGAGCCGATCGGTCCAATATTTGAGTGCATTGCGCAGCCAAAGCTGGGCGCGCCCTGGGACCCTATTCTGTACCTTTTTCGGTTTCGGATCCGAAAATTCGATTGGGTTCGTTACCGAACGATAGAGTTGTCGAATGTTACGTTCACTAGCGCGCACTGCGATACTGTATCGTTTTTCGGTAACTGTTCGGTTTGGTTTCGAAGCAACCGAAAAACATTCATGACAGTAAAACGTACTAGTGACAGTCATGGTACAAAAAAACCCAGGTATGATCGATACCATACACCATACAAAAAATATCCATATTGTTCAACTGCCACTAATAAAATAAGACCTAAAATAGGGAAGAATTAAGACATAACCCTAAAAGTTATGTCAAATCATCGAGCTTGACAAAAAATCGGTATATCTACCGTGCCCTTGTCAACCTCACGGTAGAGATACCGAGAGTTGTCGATACAAATTTACGATATCTGTCATGGGGCCGATCGGTAACTATGACAACAACAATTAACACATATTCACTATATGCAAATACGAACCGATAGCTATCGGTAACTCACCGATTCCGACGATTGTACAGAATAGCGCCCCAGGAGTTCCATCTGGGACTATTAATTCTTGTACTACTTTTTTTTATCGCAATGGTACAGGAAAAAAGAAGAATATACTCGCTGTTGAATCTTCTTTTGCAATGTAGGAAAGACAAGCAGTTGCTGTAATGTTGTTTAGAATGCAGCATCTGTTATTGCGGACACTATGAAGATGTGAATCTGATAAACAAATATACTTTTAAAATATACATAGTGTACAGGGTGAGTCAACGATAGAATCAAGTGCATTATCTCATTTGTTTCGAGGTTTAAAAAAAAGTTTTAAATATAAAAGTTATAGGGAAGGTTAAGATACACATTTTAAAATTATTATAGAATATACAGGGTAGGTACTTCAAAAAAGTGGGGCCAATATAACATGTTTTTTTAAATGCAACACCCTATGTTTTATTTTATTTTCAGATTCTGAGTAAAATTCCATAACTTTTTTATATATAATGTTATATACCAAAAATTTATAGTTTTTGTGATATTTAAATTTGTTTAAACAAATGTTAGATTGCACAAACCTGTGCCATTTTTTTGTCAAACGGAAGATACCGTAAACAAAATTTTCATAGTCCTCTTAATTTCTGAGCTAGAGGTTTGTTTTTTGAAAATTTTGCAATTTGGGATACATCTTGTATCTCTGTTTTTGTTAAAGTTATCGAAACGGTAAAAACTGTATATTGTAGAACTTTTTACGTAGAATACAGTGGGCAATATACTTTCAGTAAATATATATCACTCTATATTTATTTTCACTATTTACTGCAATATTAAAAAAATATATATTAAAAGATCATACTTATTAGTAGGCCATGATTAATAATAATAATAATAATAATAATAGCTCCCGTATATAGCGTTTAACGCCTTGGGAGCTTGCTATACTAGAACCGTTCGGTATACAAGGAAGGTAATGTGGCTAGCATTACGCTTCAACCGCCTATTATTACCTCAGGAATGTGAATCCCAAGTACTCATTTAAGGCCGAGTCGACCTAGGTACCCAAACTATTTTTATTTTAATAAAAATAGTCGGCTGATGAAATGCCGGGTGTGGGAATCGAACCCACACCTTGAGATTGGTAGGCGAGAGCCTGTACCTCTACGCCACCGGGCACCATATTAATAATAAAAGAATCTAAGGAATTATTAAAAGTATACTGCTATCTGTTGCTTGTTTTATTTTGAGAGCCACTAATAAATTCTTTATATATTAGGGAAACTTAACTCTCTACCGGTATTTGTAAATCTTGTAAGCTATCGTATCAGAAGTTTTAAATATTCATTTAGCTAATTTACGTGAAATAAACTTTCAGCAAGATGGGGCTTCCTCTCACAACTTAACTTACAACAAAAATATTAGAATTTTGTTAAATTATTATTTCTCACATCAATGAATTGGAACCTATGATTGGAACCAATGGACTCCTGTGATGGCCTCCCTTAGTGGCGGATACTGAGGGGGGCCATCGGGCCAAGCCCCCCTCCTAAAATCTATAAATTGGGTTAAATATTAGGTTCTTGGGTTAAAAATTGCGCTCTAAAAAGCATATATTCTACATTACTTTTTATTTGAATCATCTAAAAAGCATATATTCTACATTACTTTTTCCCCCAAACCCTAAAATAAATTCCCGTAGTCGCCCCTGACCTCCGTTATTCCAGGATTTGTCTGTTCTCGATTTCTGATTTTAGGGATTTTTGAAATATGAAATATATCGTTGTAACTAAGACAATGTCGAACATCTGGAAAACGCTTTAATAGTGCAAGCTAATAATGCAAGCTTTTAGATATTTGCAAACCCATCCCGTTATAAAAAAGGAAAAAATATATTCAGAAATTCAGTGGTAACATTACAAAAATAAAATATATCAATTCCAAATAAAATATTAATATGTGTATGACTATTTTTAGTAAATACCATTTTGATTTTTAGTTATTTATCACAGCCTACTAATAAGTAAATGATATATTTTAAATATTGCAGTAAATAGTGAAAATAAGTATAGAGAAATAAGTAAATAGTGAAAATAAGTATAAGTACTTTGAAAAAACATAACTTTAGTTCATATTTTCAAAAATATTTTTTTCGTAGAAAAACAGACTACGCCACTGTATTCTACGTAAAAAGTTCTACAAGAATCAGTTTTCACCTTCTCGATATCATCTATAATAAAGGAGATACGGGGTCTGTCCCAAATTGCGAAATTTTCGAAAATACCCCGTAGCTTAGAAACGAAGAGGGCTATGAAAATTTTGTTGTAAGCATCTTCCGTTTGACAAAAAATTGGCACAGGTTTGTGCAAACCGCACCCTTCTATCTTCACGAATAACGGAGATACCGTATGATTTCAACCAAAATGGGACACCCTGTACAGAAGCGTAAAATCACAAATAACATAATCTAGATAGCCATTGCTTACGGAACAGCATGTTTTCGATGAGACAGTTCTCTCTTAATGACACAGAGGACGCCTACAGCCAAATTTAATAATATTTTTAAACCGAAGAAATTTGGATCGACGCGACGTAAAGCGACGTAGCCGGTTGTTCACATTTATAAGCAAATACCCGGTCAACGGTGAAACCAAGGTCAAACCCCGAGAAAAGTTATATTCGAACGTATTTTGATACCCTAGAAGCTAGAAGTCTCGTCTCGCATGAAAATTCGACTTGTCGATGGGGCCTCGCTTTGGTGAGCTACCGTACTCCTCCGAAACGGTTTAACCGATTTTGATGAAATTTTTTATGTATATTCAGTAGGTCTGAAAATAGCTTGTTATCTATTTTTTATACCCTTAACTGACAAGGGAGGCCCACCCCAATTTTTTTATTTTTCGGACAAAATTTTTAATTTTTGTTTTTTACGATGTAGCATTAAAAAATACATATAATATATGTCATATATGTACAACACTAAATTTTCACTTTCAAATAGGTTTTTTTATTTTATTTTTTTGTTACCATAGTTCTCTGTAACGGCTTGACCGATTTTGATGCAATTTTATATGTATATTCATTAGGTCTGAGAATAGGTTGTATAGGTTGTAATATATTTTTTATACCCTTAAGTGACAAGGGAGGCCCACCCCAATTTTTTTTATTTTTTTGAACAAAATTTTTAATTTTTGTTTTTTTACGATGTGGCATTAAAAATACATTTAACACTAAATTTTCACTTTCAAATAGGGGTTGTTTTTTTTTTAATTTTTTACCATACTTTTCCGTAACGGCTTGACCGATTTTGATGAATTTTTATATGTATATTTATTTTTTTTAGAATAGGTTGTTATCTATTTTTTATACCCTTAAGTGATAAGGGTAGACCGCGCCCCATTTTTTATTTTTTGAAAAAAAAAATTATTTGGCATTAAAATACAAATATGTATAAACAACCGTAAATATTCACCGTTCTACCATCATTCCCTATTTTTTAATAGGGGTTGTTTTTTTAAATTTTTTGTTATCATCTCCGAAACGGCTTGACTGCTTGACCGATTTTGATGAATTTCTATATGTATATTTATTTTTTTAGAATAGGTTGTTATCTATTTTTTATACCCTTAAATAATAAGGATAGACTGCACCCCATTTTTTTTATTTTTTGAAAAAAAAAATATTTTTTTATTTGGCATTGAAAAATTGAAACAACTGTAAATTTTCACCGTTCTACCAACATCCTCTATTTTTTAATAGTGGTTGTCTTTTTGTTACTATACTTCTCCGAAACGACTTGACGGATTTTGATGAAATTTTATATAAGTAAGTCATAAGGGTGGTCCACCCCATATTTTTTTTATTTTTTGGACAAAATTTTTTATCTGTCCTAAAAGTATGAAAATTTGCACAGAGGTCCCTTAAATGACGAAAGTGAGTACTCACAAGCGAATTTTCGGCATTCATTCCTTAAGAAATAGGAGATGAAA